TTTGGGTCCAGTCGTGGGGCCTGAACTCTGGGCCTGGGCACTGTCCCTCAGCTCTTCAGCTCAAGGCTAGCACTCTACCACTTGAACCACAGCGCCACTTCCGGCTTTTTTTTCTTTTTGCTTATGTGGTGCTGAGAAATCAAACCCAGGGCCTCAGACATGCAAGGCAAGCGCTCTACCACTGAGCCACCTTCCCAGCCCCGGTAACTACACTCTTAAGAGCACATTTCCCTTTGTTTTTTCTTCATTTACTCATTAGATTTAGGGTACAGAATTTTGCTGTTAACAGAGCATTTTTGATTTGCTAAATATGTATTTCTGAATAACTACTCAATGATTTAAGTCATGCTGTCCCATTCTTTGTATTTATTAACTCTCTGTCTCTCTCTGTCTCTCTCTCTCTGTCTCTCTCTCTCTGTCTCTCTCTCTCTAAGCCTGGCAAGAACCAGGCACTGATGCCTCATACCTGTAATTCTAGATACTCAGAAGCCTGATATTTGAGGATTGTGTTTCAAAGCCAGTCTGAAAAGGAAAGTCCATGAGACTCTTATCTCTGACTAACTATCCAAAAAGCAAGACGTGGAGCTATGGCTCAAGTGGTAGAGTATTAGCCTTGAGGGGAAAAAAAAGCTCAGGACACCATCCAGGCCCTGAGTTCAAAATCCAGGATGGATGCACACATGCACATTCCTGGCAATAAGAAGCACAATGGCTCCGTTAGTAATCCCAGCTAATCTCCCAGGTAGGGATAGGAGGATCACTGTTTTGAGACTCACTGTTGTGAGATGTTATTAAAAAAAAAAAAAAGTCAAAAAGAACTGGGAGGTTGTTCGAGTTGCAGATTATCTGGTTCACAAATGCACTCAAAACTCCATTACCAAAAACAAATACATGAAATTTTAAAATAAAATACGAAGCCACACAAAACATTGGCAGAGACCATTCAAATCAATGGATACGGGTTTCAAAGAACCTGAGATAAATTTGTACTGAGTGTTGTGTATACTGCAAGTGCTTCAACCAGCAAAGAGTAAATAAGTGACAGAGCTTAATTCTAGTAAAAAATTAAAATAAGAGTGTCTCCGATTCAATTAAGAGGACTGGTTGAGCTCATAACCCATGCTAAAATGAATACCTCCAAGAATAGTAAAAGCAAAACTGAACATTTTGAGACCATTACAGTATAAATTTCAGCAACATCTTCAAGTTTAATAAGATGTCTAGCCGGGCGCTGGTGGCTCACGCCTGTAAATCCTAGCTACTTAAGGGGATTGAGATCTGAGGATCGGGGTTCAAAGCCAGCCCAGGCAGGAAAGTCTGTGAGATTCTTATCTCCAACAAACCACAAGAAAACCAGAAGTGGCACTATGGCTCAAGTGGTAGAGCATTAGCCTTGAGCTAAAGAGCTAAGGGACAGTGCCCAAGCCCAGAGCTCAAGTCCTACAGCAAAATAATAATAATAATAATTCTATCATTTGTGATGCAAAGCAAAATAAAGAGTCCAGCTAATTTTAAAGTAGGAGAAAAATGAGGACTTCCAACTTATTTTGGGATTTTAGAAGATGTATCCTTCAAAGATACTTGCATCTTGACAAGTTGATAATAAATCTGGTCATAATCCAATTTTTTCAATGTTAACTTTTATGTTACTACCAATTCTTCCTGCTTTCTTGTTCCTTTCTCATTTTACTCAAGCCAACAATCAATACAATCCAAACCTGGTTATCTTCACAACTTTGGGTAAAGAAGTAAACTGATGGCTAATTTCATACTAGCTTGAGATCAACTACACCCCATTACAGTTATCTTGCTGGGAAGAGAAATTAATTTAAAAATGTCCATGGCAAAAGATGTCCCAGTAGCTCTAAACTAAGAATTACCCCCACAGAGGAGGAGAGAGGCTAGAAATAACAGGGAAGAAAGGAGGGAAAAAATGAATGGTGCTTATCTGTATGGAAAGCACCTTTGCAAATGTACCCACAGTGAATTACACGGGGCCGATGATGACCTGAGCAGGGCAAGGGAGCCCAGTTCCTAATTCTATTCTTCAACTTGGTGATTTGCTAATGTGAAACACATGTCTCTCTTTTGCACCAAGTTCAAATAATGCTGGAATTCTAACCGTGCAGCTCAGCGACTGAACCAGAACAAGGAGAGAACTTGTCAGGATTTAAGAGCTTTCTGCAAAGCCCTTCAATTGCAGCTGGCACCCTATTCCACAGAAGGATATCAATTATAGATAGCGACTTGCTTTCGCGGGCCGTCGGGACTGTCAGACGCTACATAGACAACCATGAAGAATCATGAATCTTTCTATTAACTGTAAGCGGGGCGGGGGGGGGGGATCAGAACTATAAATAAAACAGTGTATTGCAATGGTTTAACACCTGGCCAGTAAGTTGTAGACAGCATAAAAATTAAACTAAATCCCACAATGTCTCCTCTCCAAAGAAAGTCATAGGAACCCAAATGGGCCCTAATCTCTGTCCCTAAACATGTGGCCTCTGAAACTGATACTGATTCCATTTGTTCACCAAAGTGCCCAGGTAGACCTGAAGTCATTATGAAAATACAAAGCACCTACCCTGCACTAGCCACCTAAGGCCACTAGATACACTCAGAACAGGGAAAGTATGGGAGTGGCCAGTAGCAGACAATGGAAAATCAATTTTAAACACCCAAATTTGGGGTTTCCATCCTTTAGGTACCAGCAAAACAGGTGGAATATAAGTGATACCATCCATAGTCTTCATTTCATATTGTTGCACATTGCGATTTCTAAGCATTCATTTAACTTTATTTCCTCATATAATTTAACTGACTAAAATTGATATCCTAAAGGTAACATATTAGATTTTCTTCTAAACCTGACATGAATTTCTCCTAGCTGATCTAGAATAAGAAGATTCCACTAAACATAAACTCAAGTTTGCTAGTTTGAAGGACACTCTGCCACTTGAGACATACCTCCAGTCCAGCTTTTTGCTGGCTATTTTAGAGATGGAGTATGACAGACCTTTCTGCTCAGGCTAAGTCTGAACTGATACCCTTCAGATTTCACCCCTTAATAAAGGAGCTTCTATTAAGACAGTCAGCAAGAATAAAGGGTCATTAAATCAGTAATACTTGTATCAATTTAAAAAGAAAAAAATATATTGTTTTCTGTGAAAGATTTCAATATAAGTAATCTGTACAGAAGTGGTGCTGAAGCTCAAGTGGTAGAGTGCTCGCCTTGAGCTGAAGAGCTGAGGGACAGTGCCCAGGCCCAGAGTTCAAGCCCCACAACCGACAAAAAAAAAGAAAAGAGAAAAGAGAAAAGAAAAGAAAAAGAAATCTGTAATTCTTCTTATACAATTCCAAAGAAGCTATTTTCAGAAGACATGGAAGAATGGCCTTGATGATGTCATGTTAAATTCTCAAGACATTACAAATAGATATCTCTCAAGCAGGCAAGCTGTCTACCTAGCTCTACCACAGAATGGCTAAAGTCACAAGCTCATGCAGCCTATGAACGATGAGAAAAGGGCTTTTGATCATTTCCATGTTTCACCTAAATAGAAGAGGATCAGCAAGAAATAATCAGCCAGCCTTTGTGGTTCATATCTATAACACTCGCTACTCAGGAGGCTGAGATCTGAGAGTCTCAGGGCAGAGCTAGCACAGGCAGACAAATCCGAGACTTTCATTTCCAGTGAGCCAGCACATCAGTCCTGGGCTCAAGCCTATATCTACTTGGATGTTCTGCAGGACTCTAAATTCCCTTCCAAGTCTGAGCCAGAAAGGCTTCGCAGGCCTTAGAAAGTACCAAGTACCAGGAAATTATGGGCAAGGTCATGAGGGGGTGGGTGGGCAAGAAGGTTACTACACTCGGAACTGACCACAGGAGTGCAACTAAAAGACATCCAGCCACACAGAGGCTGAAGCCTGAGCATGAACATTCAAGCCAGCCTGGGCAGACAAATCCAAGAGACTCTTCCTTCTGATTAACCACCAACAAGCTGGAAGTGAAGCTCTGGCTCAAATGGTGGAGCACCAGCCTTGAGCAAGAAAAACTAAGGTACAGTACCCAAGCCCTGAATTCAAAGCCCTAGTATTGGTAAAAGGGAAAAGCAAAACAAAGCAAAAGACATGAAGACCTGGTTTGGTAAGAGAAAAGATGGTTCTCAATCTGATCATTCCCTGTAGTTTTCAAAAACATATACTGATAAAGACATCAGAAAACACATACAATGATTACCATGATGAGAGGTTTACTCCGGAGGCTATAATAGATCAGGAGCCATTTGTGTTAGGACTGGCTACACTAAGAAGGGGTTCCTCAGGCCGAGAGTATGCAGGGGAGGAGGGAGGAGAGGAGTCCTACCCCTGCCTCTACATTTTCTTTTCTATTTTTACAGTCTTGGAAAGGGGAAATAAACTTGGTTAAAAGGTTAATAATAATTCATGTCCAGCTTACTATTACTCAAAAACCATCAAAGTCGCTAACTCAAAATAGTGTTTTCTGGCTTATAGGATCAGAGTCATTACACTCTCCATTGAAGACTTTATTGAATTTTACACTAAGCTTTAGCTGACTGCACAGGTCAAACACCATAGCTTGGAGTTTTCTTTATTCTCATAAAGTCATAAAGCCCTCTCGACTCTGCACTGCTCCGAGCTCAGGAACTTGACTCTGCCAGGGTCAGAGAAGCGAACCTCAAAAGGAAGGGTCATGCGGCGGAAAGCCTGGATGGCTGAGCGCCAGTCACTCACGTGCACCAGCTGGTCCTGGGTGTCGAACTCCCGGGCGCAGCCCTCCCAGTGGCAGTTCGTCTCGTAGATGACTTCAGGCTCCTGCTTGCTCTCATCTCTGTCCCCTTCCTCCTTGACAAGAGTTGTTCCTTCTGGTTGCTCCTGGGGCGTGTGGGGAGGGAGGCAGAAGGGAGAGAAAATCAGAAAATCAGGTCCAGTAGAAGGAAGAGAAGAAGAGAAATAAAACCCTGATTTAGATTTGTCTTCCTTCTAAGGCAATTTTTTTTTCAGGTGAAAATAAAACAGAAGCTGGGTTTTGTGAATCAAACAAAGCTAACCTGGAATCCTTTGTGTGCGTGCATGCGCGTGCGTGTGTGTGTGTGTGTGTGTGTGTGTGTGAGAGAGAGAGAGAGGAGAGATTTCAAACACTTGTTTAACTTGAGTTTCAAAAAAGGACACTGACCACCCTTTCTTGACAATAGCCTATAGCATAATCAAGATGAAAAAGCTGAAGTCAATCTGATTTGCCCTGAAGAGAAAGGTTGCAAAGAAACCAAAATCATACCTTCAAAATAAACAGAAACAAAATAAACCCCAAACAAAACCCCTAAAAGAAATTTGTGTGTGTGTGTGTGTGTGTGTGTGTGTATGCTAGTACTAAATCAGAACTCAGGTCTTTGCGTGCTTGCTTGGCTTTTCCCCTCAAAGCTGGTGCTCTATGACTTGAGGCACACTAGAGGAACTTAAGCTCCACTCTTTTTGCTGGAGATAAGAGTCTTGAAGATTTGGTTGCCTAGACTGGCTTTGAACCTCAATCCTCAGATCTCAGACTCCTGAGTAGCTAGGATTATAGGTGTGAGCCACCAGTGTACAGCAAGAAATAATTCCTTACCCCAAAGGTTCATCTTTTCTATGTTGTTCAGTTATTTTAAATCTTTTATCCCCATATTAATTATTCTTCCATTTTTGTAAATCAGGGAATGGTTGTACTTGGAGTTCTGTTTTGCCCAAAGTTGGAGCTTATGAGAGGCCCTCTGGACTTTCTGGGGACAGTGCCCTCTTGGGTCAGCCTCTGGTTTCCATGGATATACACCAGGGTCTGAGGCCTAGGAGCCTCAGCACCTAATGTTCTGCAGTGTGTTCTTCACAGTAATGCCATGCCATTCAAAGAGTCTCCACAATTATGGGGCACAACTAGGTATATAGAGTTCTACCCTATAACCAGACGATAAAAATCATATATGGGATACAAGGTATAATCACAAAATTAATGTCTAGCAAACTGTAGGAAGGAAGGTAGATTTCAGAGTCTTTCTCACAGAAAGGGAAATCTGGGCTGAAGCATGCTGAGATGGAGACTACTGTAGCCTAGTGATAGCAAAGTCCAGATCCTTAGAGGTTAAGATTCTCCTCCAGCCTCTGTCACTGGTCTACAGCAAGCAGAAGAACTCATGGGATGGATTTCTGGGCATAACCAACACATTTCTTCAGGGAAGCCAGAAGATCTCAGGGATTAGAAGCAGAGCCCAGAATCTAACCAGACTGGTTAGTTGTGCCTCAGTCCCTCCTGGTACTCCACGCTCTCAAGCCAAGTGGGAAATGGGGGAAGGGGAATGAATGGAAGCTTAGGAATGTTAGCTTAGTTTCTGCCCGCAACTCCAGCTGAAGGGCTGAGGCTGCTCACATCTGTGGTTAAGTGCATCCAGCCGTGGGCTCTATGAACTACAGTTCAGCCAACTCCTATGCTATCTCAACTACCAAGAACACAAACACTACCACCCAGCTTGACCAGTGGTTCTGCCTGCTTCTGAGCTAGGGCAATCAATTAAGTCCCTCCATCATGAATCCATTTTCAAAGACATTGAGTATGGCCAAGGCCATACATAGCAGATAAGAAAAAATGCTGTGAACAGACGCCAGGCAAGCAGCAGAGAGCTGTTCCCAGCATGGAAGGGATGGAAGTAAACCTACACAGCCTGAGTGTCCTACCTGCTGCCCGCGTCCTCCTGGACTGGGGAGGTCTTCATCTGGCTTGATCTTGGAGCGTTTATTATGCAGGGGGTCACCAGTGCTGCTCACCGCAGACTCACTTGTGGGCTTGTTCTGCTGATCAGATTTGCAGGAGCAGAGACAAAAGTTTGGTCAATAAATGGGGACTTAATAAAAACCTAAAACTGAAGACCAACAAGTGTATTTGTGTCAGAGATTAAGAAATGTCACAATCTTCCATAACACAGGAGAGTTTAGATAATGTGATCAGAACTGGGCAAAACATTCATGAGGCAGTTCCTTTATTTCTAGAACTCTATTCATGAATATAAATTCCCTGGGCTATTTAAAGGCTTAGAAGAACAGGGCTAGGATCGTAGGTTTTAACAGAGTCCAGCAGTGATTTCACAAATTCTAAAGTTGGGTAGGAGATCCAATACAAGCCATTTGTGACACTCATTAATTTAAGCATCCACAGTCTTCCTACCACATTGTCAGGGTGGCAGTAAGAAGGAAAGATTGGCATTGGTTTCCTCTTCCCAGTGCCTACAGTGGCCAAATCCAGCAATGTAATTACATGGTCAATTTGTCACCAACCAAAGTGCTTTAGAAATGACAACAGGTCAGGGTATGGCCTGATCAATTATTCAATTATTTGCTCTGTGTGTGTGTGTGTGTGTGTGTGTGTGTGTGTGTGTGTGTGAATATTGGGGCTGGAACTCAAGGCCTTGCACTCTTACTTGGCATTTTCACTCAAGGATAGCATTTTATCACTTGAACCACACCTCCACTTGTGCTAGTTCTTTGGAGGTAAGAGCCTCACAGACTTCTCTGCCTTAATTTGGCTTCAAATTATAACCTCTCAGATCTCAGCCTCTTCAGTAGCTAGGATTACAGGTGTGAGCCAACAAGCACCAGGCTAAATTATCTCATTTGGTATTCATGAAACACACAGCTGTGGCACAAGACATTCTGGCTTAATGGGGAGCATCACTGTGTAGCACGTTTCACCAAACTGAACAACAGAACTCTGGGTACCAAGATGAATCCCAAGAATGTCATGGTTCCAAGCCAATATGGTGGCCAATCCTCTCCTTCACTGACCAAGATGATCCAGAGCATGGAGCTACTCTTCTTACCTGTGAGGACTCAGAAGGGCCGGAGCTAACCTGGACTGGGTTCAGGACTGTAGGGATTCCTGGAACAGGCCGCTGTGTGGGGAACGTAGGGGCAGGGTGGATGAGTGGAGGGCTATGGCCAAAGGCAGAGCCCAGGCTCTGCTGTCGGCTTAGAATCTGCTGATGCATGTGAAGAGAGACAGGTGCAGATGGATAGGTGAAGCTCAAGGCAGGGCTGTACACAGGGAGACAAAAACAATTAAGTCAATAAATAAGATTAAAAATTAAAAACTTCAATTAGGCAGAAAGTAGGGTCAACTATATAGTATCTGGAGCACTCTACCTATATTGTTACCATCCCAATCCATATTGGGGTTTTATCAACACAAATGAGAAAGGAGAAATTATTACTGTCGAACATTTTAAACCTTTCCAAGAGAAAGATGACCATTGAAGCCGGGCATAAGGGTACATGCCTGTAATCCCAACACTGGGGAGGGGAAAGGAGGGGGGAGGATGGCAAGGGAGGGGAGAGGGATGATTATCAAGAGGAGATATGCACACCTAGGCATCCAAGCCCACAGACTTGAAGTATCAACTCAATAATAACTATTTATTGCAATAACAAACTCGAGGTGAGAAAGAGGATGGGTGACTACATGCTTTATAGGACTTCTGTGGGCTCTAGTTCCTCCTGAGCATGGAGCAATTCCTTCATCTTAGTTCCCATCGCACACTTTCATATGTCTCCAGATCTTATTACAAGAGGAAAGAAAATCAATTGGTTAAATGCGCTTGGAACACTGTACGTGTCATATCACTCATTTGTTTGTAAAGATGGAAAGCTCGCTTCATCCAGAATGCCACCTAAAGAATTCCCATCAGCGCCGTCTGCTTACGAAAACTGATGGATTAACCTCTCTCCACGGAAATCAGTGATCAATGGACTCAAGGACAAATATTCCAATGGGAGAGCCTGGCTCCCTCCTCATGCTAGACAGCATTCAATGCCCATTACAGTCCATAATGCCTGCTAATGCCCCCTAACGCCTCCCCGTCAGCCCGTAAAATTATGCAGCAGTATTTTCTGGAAGGGAGAGGATACTACAGAAATATCCCAAATCTGCCATAGTGCCAAATTATTCTTCAGGTTTAAGAACCAAAGCCTCCTAAAAGCCTATATACCTAGCTACTCAGGAGGCTAAAATTTGGAAGGTCACAGTCCCAGGACAGCCCAGTCAGAAAGACTCCATTTCCAAAATAATCAGCAAAAACCCAGGCTGAAGTAAGTGGCAGACCATCAGCTTGTGAGCAAGTCAGTCAAGTTTAGAGTACAAGGCCCTGAGTTCAAGCCCCAGTACTAGCATTAAATAGAAAAAGATTCTCTCAGAAGAATAAAGGATTCTGGAGGACTTTTGCCCACGGCTTTCAAAAAAGACATGGGAAACTAATAACTACATTTATGGAAATTTTAAAAAATCAGCGAAACAAAAAGTATGTATATGTATCTTCCTATCCTGCTGTGTTAATACTCAAAAAGAATTAGGATTTCTTATAGTGTCCTAGATAGAACTCATGCAAATTTCCAATCTGGTGAGTTAATTGGTACTATTAAGTACATTAACTGAGAATGCAGTAATTATAATAACGAAATCCCAGCCACTTCAACCCCCTTTTAAAGTAATAATTCCAGAGACACACAGTTCATTATAATGTGATTCCACATTTTTGCCTATTTGATTACCATACACAGAAGGTACCTTCAGTGGGATTATATGACTATTGTTCCTCCACAGAAACTTTCCTTACAATAGCTGGCCCATTTAAGAATGAATACCATTAAGAATACCCTAGGAGAATTCCACCAGGCTTTGAGTAACTCTCCTTTCATTCCACATTGTATTTCCTTAATAAAAGGAAGCAGAAAACAGTCATTGTTCACAGGAAATTAGGGAGAAATCAGTAATAATACTGTGTTTCTGCACCACTATAAGTTTCTGTCCAGATTTCTGAAGGCTATAGTGAAGGATTACAGCGAGACTTAGCTAAGGTAGCTGGCTCGGATGATTGATAGAGCATTAATCAAAAGATGCATATCTGCCTCGGAATTTGTTCCCAAGCTTTCTTCTAATAGCTGATTTCGTGTTCACTGAGCTCTATGCCAGTTTGTCCAATTTATTTTTCAGTGTACAAGTCATTCATCAAAAACCAATGATTTAACATGCCCCCCCTCCTTTGCGTGAATGGATATTACTAAGTGTAAGGACCTTATTCTATTCATTAAAGAAACAGAAACCCAAAGACCCCATTTCATGTATAATTACAATGGCAGGCAGACTCCACAGGGACCTCCACATGTCTGTCCACAGTTCTGGGGGCCTCAACTATCCAGAAGGCTCAAGAAAGGGACCCAGAAAGTCACTGACACTTCTGATCCAAGAAAGGGTTCACTCTGAGACTTTTAAAGCCAGGACCTGCCAGGTACCTGTGGCTTATACCTGTAATCCTAACTCAAGAGGCTGAGATCTGAGGATTGCAGCTCAAAGCCAGCCAGGGAAGGAAAGTCTGTGAGATTCCTATCTCCAATTATCCAACTTTAAGTAGAGGTGCGGTTCAAGTGTTAGCATGCCAGCCTTGAGTGGAAAAGGGAAGAAACAGCACCCAGGCCCTGAGCTCAAGCTCCAGTACCAGCATATGCTAAATCTTAGAGACAGAAACAGACAGAGCTTGGGGGTGAGGGCAGGGGGAGAGGGAGCAAGAAAAATAAAGTGAATACTTGATCAGAAGCCACAAATGAACACATTTCAAGAGGCAGCAAATACTGTTGGTTTTTTGGTATAAGCACGTGACATACATCTAGGATAGGAATATTTCTAAACACATGTAAGAGAGAACAGAACCCAGGACTGGCCTCCCTTTGTACTTTTTGGGGGTCCCAAGGCCCCTGGTCCTCGGGGTGCTTGGTTCTGGGTTAGGAAAGATTTCAGCACTATCAGGAAATGTCCTCTTTGGAGAGTGCAGTATCCGTAGTACAAGCAGATGAGCAACATACTCTACAAGCCTCATCATCATTTTAGACTGCCAGGGAAATGAGAGCACAGAACAGACCAGGGATTTTCCACCTTCATTTCTTATTCCAAATGAGCCACCACACTTTTCCCTGCAGACATGGACTCTCAGACATACTATGATGCTTTGTCTCTGCCCAGAAGAGCCGGTCCCATCCAGCTGTGCTGACCACGCTCCAGATCACAGGGCTGCTGAGAACTGAAGAAACTAAAGCCTTAAATCTGTGATCTGGCATCAAGGTCTCTCGATCTCAGGATGCTGCCTAGAGGATGCTCAGCCTCAACCGTATAAGGATGGAGCAGAGAGTGGCTACTGCTGGACCCTACAGGTAGGACGGCCAGGACCACGGAACAGCATTCCTACCACGCCTCCTCCACTCCTGTCAACTCTTCCGGAACTCTAGGGAATTCTCAGCCGGCCCCACGGCCCAGCAGAGGCCTGCTCCCTAACAAGACCTGCACACTGGTATTTCCTGTCTGCCTCAACTAGAATGCTTAGCCTCCAAAGCTTAGCACACCTGCGTTCCTTCCATCATTTGAGTCCCAGCTCGAATGTCACCTACTCACAGAGGCCTTAGGAACCAATATCCCCATAAACAGGAACTATGTATACCTCCTTGCTCCTTAGTTTTCAAGTTTTAGTGATGTTAGGATTTGAACTCAGGGTCTTGTGCTTTCTAGGCAAAGATCCTACCACTGGAGTCATGTCCCCAGACACTGCCGTTATTTTTTAAAGGGGTCTTCAAATTTTGCCCACGTCAGCCGGAGACAACAATCTTCCTTACGGCAGGGATTGCAAGTGAACACCAAGACATCCAACCTGTTCTTTGTGGGAAGGAGGGGAAGGCCTCAAACTGTGATCAACCCATCTCTACCTCCTGCATGGCTGAGATTATCAGCATGTACCACCATGCTCAGCTAGAGAATCTGATTCTAATCACAGCACAGAATACTCCCTGGTTCTACATTCCTTTCTCCATTTCTGAGCTGAGGTTCAGGTAAGCCATGCATGGTCCAGCTCAATTTCAAGTGAACACTGAGTCCTTCTCAGCACCCCACTCCAATCAACCACTATAGACACAGTGAGGTGGAAGAGCACACACTGGCTGTCACCTGATCAAATCAGCAGTGTACACTGAGTGGGCAGGGCTGCCTCCAATGGAGGCTCCTTGCTTCTTACAGGGCCTCTCTGCAGAGGCTGCTGGCATTTCCTGGCTTAAGGTTCCATTTCACTCCCATCATCCCTCCCCTGCTAATTCTGACCCTCTGAAAGGACCCTCCCATTCCTTGGGACCACCCCAATCACCCAAGGCATACACTCATCTCAAGATCTACAGCTTAATCCTGTCTCCCAAATTCCTTTTAGCTTGTAAGATGATCTAGTCCCAAAAGAACATTGTCTTCCACTAAATGTGACCGTGAAAACAACAAATCTACAAAACACGATTAAAGTTAGTGTCAAACTTCACTCTGTAACAGCAGAAACTGAAGTTACAAAGAAAAAGAATTTCAAAGGTAAATTCTACCTGATAGAGCAGAAAGCACTCTGGACTAAGCAATAAGTACTCCTGACTGAGCAAAAAGTATTCTTCACTGGAAAGTAAGTACTCCAAAATTACTCCTGCCCAACTTCAGTTTCCTGGTCACTTGGTGGTTGTTATATCTGTGAGTCAATCCACAATCTGGCTACAGCTGGGAAATTCAAAATGAAGTCTTTCCAGTTTTGGAGAAAAGGGACCATGAGCTAGCATTATTTCTACAGGTGTAAGAACAGGTGTGTCTACATGAGAGGAAAAGAATACAAAGCTTCCTCCACCAACCACACAACTTCCAGGTTAAGTTTCTGGGATAACCCTGCCCAAACTGAAATATAAAGATCCACACATTGCACTGGGACAGATCCTAGCCCTGACCTGCACACACGCACACTGCACTCTGAGTAGCTTTGGAAAAAAAAATACATGAAGCTTTCTATTATGAAGACACTAGAGAAGACACTCTGATTGGAATGGTAACCACACAATCTCACTACAGCCATGCCACTGATCAGCCATCTAGAATCAGTTAGAAATACTGTATACTAATATGAAACCGAATCCTTTTCTTCAAAATACAACCTGCTACTATTATCTTTTCTCTAGTTTTAAAGAAAAGCATTTCCCAACTA